TGGATCGGGAAAAATTCACCTCTATGAAGTTTCTCGGGACACCACGGTGATGGCAACTAAAATAATGGAATCCGAAGTTGCTCAACCTCTGGTCATCATCGATGAATGTGCCGTCAGCGATTGGATTGCATGTGTCTACGAAAACCAGTGGTACGTGGCCATCATCGATGAAGTGGACCTTGCTGACCAAGAAGTAAAGGTGACTTTCTGGAAACAAAACACCTCAAAATTAAAACTTGGAACCTCTTATATTTCTGAAAACGCGTCCTGTTACATCAAAATTGGACAAATTCTCAAGAAGATCTTCCCATCAAGAGCATCAAGACGTGGAAGGACAATCAACATCTCACTGGAGGAGCAGGAAGAAGTAGACAGACTCTTTAGACAATTTCAGCGATGAATAAGGAAGTCGTGGCGAAGATGGACTTCGAATGGTGGTGTTGGTGACTGTTTCCCAAAGATATTTTTTAATAAAGTTATTTATTAAATCATATCATTAAATAGTTTTATAAACCTGTTGTAAAATAGGTTTATAAACCTATTTAATTCATTCAATTTTACGAAAATAAAATCTCTTGGTAATTTAGTCATGATCGCATATCGCAAATTAATTCATCAACTTGGCTTTCAATGACTTGTTTTTAATTGGTAAGAATGTTAGTTTAATTATCGCGCGATAATTAAATTAACATCACCTAAGGCGCAAAGGACCAGGGTCCGAGATTGCTGCTATCTCGCTGATGACTGGATTTTCCAGCAGGAATTATTTATAATCAAATAATTCTTGGACTAAGCATAGTCGAAACCCAAAATTACTGCATATTGTCTACTAAACATTATAATACGAATTTTTTGTAATCGCCGAAATTCATGATTTTTGGCATTTAGAAATTCAGATAAGTTTTTAATTTGGAGCGATTTGGATAAACAAAACTTGCTAATCTGAAAAATTGATAAGTGCCGTCATAAGCTCTATAGCGTCAATTTTCGAGTGGATATCACCATTATAAAATCAAAAAAGCTTAAGTTTTAAATTTGGGGCGATTTGGATAAACCAAACTTGCTTATCTGAAAAATTGATAAGTGCCGTGATAAGCCCTGTAGCGTCAATTTTCGAGTGGATATCACCATTATAAAATCGAAAAAGCTTAAGTTTTAAATTTGGGTCGATTTGGATAAACCAAACTTGCTTATCTGACAAATTGATAAGTGCCGTGATAAGCTCTGTAGCGTCAATTTTCGAGTGGATATCACCATTATAAAATCAAAAAAGCTTAAGTTTTAAATTTGGGGTGATTAGGTAATTAAAATATCACAAACTTAATTAAGTTGGGTGGTTGAAATCCATATCTCATTAGTGGCCAGAGTTTGTTACGGCTCTTGCAAAATAAGTCCCTCCCTCAGAAACTTTGACCCCAAATTTCTCGTGGTACCATCGATTCCCTTCGGGCAACAAAAGCTGAAAATGTAGCTCTTCCCAAGGAGAAAAATCTGGCATCGGGTTGTCCGAAGTAAATGGGTGGTACCATGCGTTTTTTAAGGATTTCTGTGTACGTAAAAAAACCGCCAATTTTCGAATTTTGAAACTCTTGATGCATTAAAATGTTCGTATTTCAAGCGGAAGTCAAATTGCAAATGCAAGTATAGGTCTAACTCTTATTCTACACGATGTACATTGACTTTCTCATTTTTCCGAACTTTGTTCCTTTATTTTTATAGGGGGTGTGGTTGCACAGAATTCAAAAAATGTTGTGGTACATTTGTCCTTGTACCCACAATTGCATTTACAATTAATTTTATTTGATTCAATGAAATCGATGCGAAAAGCTATGGAACGTATCCGTCATTTTATCTCGTTTGTTAAAATATAGTCAAGGTTTATATATATATAAGTGTGTATTCAAAGTACTCATTTGTCTATGTATTAATGCTACAAATAATACCTGCTAGTCTCCAAATAAATAAATACATAAATGTCATAATTATGTAAGTAACGTCATCTACAGTACATTTTGTTTGTAATAGTGCACTTTAAATAAAAATTCGAGTAATATTTACTTAATTTTGAGTGAAATTGCCACCAAGACAATGATTGAGTAAAAGTTATCCAATAAAAGTTCAAATTACCCAACTTTGAAAGATTTTTGCTCAAACTTGAGTAAATTTTAGCTTTGGCGGGATAAATTATACTCAATAATTGTCTTGGTGGCAATTTCACTCAACTTAGCTATTTCCATAAGTCATATGTATAATAAACAAGCCTATTCAGGTTAAGCATTAAAGTAAATTAAATCGAAATACGATTTCAAATACTTAAACTTTCCGGTATTGCACAATCAAGATCATTTTGTATCATATTCATTTCAGCTCAACACTTGCGATAGAGTAATTGTTGTCAATAAACGATGTGTCCGATTTTGTCTGGAACAATGCACCTTAATCTGTGATTCGCGCGCGGTCTGGAGCGCATAGGCGAGGTCAACTTCGATCAGATTATGGCAGCGTAGGCGCCAAATTTGGATGGTTTTTTGATGGGTAAAAATCGTGACGTAAAATTGCGTGATGATTAAATATCTGTATACAGATATTTAAATATATATATATATATATATTTAAATGCATTCAATTATGAATGCATATCAAGCACTCATCAAATACACAAATTTTCATTCAAGTCAGAATTGAAATAAAACGAATTTAAATAATACACATCATAGCTCGCAATAACTTGGTCTATGGTCCATGGTCCATAACTACATGGTCCATGGTCCACCGATGGACCACTTGAAAATTGGTCCAGGTGGACCATTTTGGCCCAGTGCACCATGGTCCATTACGAGCTATGATACACATATGCATTTAGATAGTATTTTAAATATCGTTCGGTATACATACGGCTTGTGTATAAAAAATATATTCATCTGAACAAGAATAAATGCAAATTTAGACTTTTATTTAAAAAATGATACATATACTTAAAAATAAAGTCGTTGCATTTTTTCAAGGACGGATCATTTTTCGAATAAAAGTCGCACACACTAAAAAACCATTTCTTATCGAAAATTATATTGCGATAAATTTTAACTTTGCTGAATCCGTAGTAAATGAGTGCGCGTGCCGACAAGGTTGACATGACTGAATTGTGTCACATGTTGTACAATTGCCGGTACACACCCTCAGAAAACTGGCATTAAATTATTCCCGTCTGTGGTAATAACTAAAACGGTAGTTAGTTTTGCAGGACACTCTTAGCAAACTGGTAATAAAATTTTAATAACGATCTTTACCAAGCCCCCGGTGAACAGAGTTGTTCCGCATGGGTAATAACACTTATTACTAGGTTTATTACTGTTTGGTAAAGACACGACTCCACGTGTTGGTAATATTCGTTATTACTTATTTGACAAAGATTTATTACCGCGGCCTTATGGTTTTGAAGAATTTGGTAACAAAGTTTGTTTTCGTCATAACATGAATTTTTTACCGTGGCGTAATAAATTATTACTGCTCTGGTAATAAAATTATTTATTACCAATCAGTAATAATACTTTGCCATTCTGTCAGAGTCATAAGCTTGCACAGCTTGGATAGTTGCATCCAAAGAGGCGAAAACCCGCATATTTGTCATGCAAAATTCGAAAAGTTCAAACCTGGAAGCCTTTGGGGCCCGTTTTTTTCTCTTTTTATGCAAATATCTTCGCCAAAACTGCGCATTGACAGATTGTTGCATTTGCAAATTTCGCATAAATTAATTCTGTGATGGATTGAGTCAATCGGATTGACACTATTTACGTCCAAATCTGAGAGCATAGGTTGGGAGACCATTGCCAGTGGTGCGATGTGCAAAATGTTTTGCAACATTGCAATGCGCAAAACATTTTGCGATTGCTTTCAACAATCTAATCAGCAGGTTTGAGGCCGTGCAAAGTACAAACTCGTGCAGCCTTGGCACGTGTGTGAGGTGTTATTGTAAACATGCTATATGATATAATCTTGTATTTCATCAATCTTGTCAGTAATTGTGAGTAACCAAAAATCATAAAAAATCGTATACACAAAACAACATAATTTATCTGTATTACGTTGCAAAGTCCAACAAAATCACATGTACATAAGTGTAAGTATGTATTGATTGCGAGTTTACGGAATCACACTAAAATTTTGACGTGAATGCTAAATTTTGACTCCCGCCAAGTTTGGGCGACGCCGACTTTACGCTTACGTTAATTTTGTTAACGTTGCACTTATACTTTTACGCTAAAAATCATATTTTAGCGGAACATAAGGTTTTTACGTAATCAATAAATCTTCAGGTTTTAAGTGCAAAGCGAGACCAAATTCAAACTTCGAGGGCATTTTTGCGTTAATGTTAATTCGCACATGATTTATTTGACCGCACGTTAACATTTACGCAAACGATAAATTTAACGTTTGCGTGAAAATTTAGCGTTTACACGTCAAGTCGCAATCTCCGTAATGTATATGTACATTTGCACTGATTTTATTACCTTGTGTGGCGAAAATTCTTAATTACCACAGGATGTACCTGGGTAAACGGGTTACGTAGCTAGCTACATATATATGCATAGCAATCAGCAAATCTGGGTAACATCCAATCAAGTTTTTAGAAAAATACACTGTAAATACATTGTAATACATTGTACTTTTTTACAATAAAAAAACAAGAATATCCACTCCCGAGGGATAATTGAAGGTTGACCTTGTTGATTAGGTCATCCGGTTCGCTCTGAAACGCAAAATTTATGAAGACATACTGAACGCTCATTTTATGTATAATTTTTTTCGATTAATTCCAACCTACCCAAAAATTCCCAGTCATTTAAAAGTGGTTTGAAAGATTTTCCAACTCATCGTGGGAGCTAATTAATTTTAAATCTACGATACATAAATGAAGGGTTTACATTTGTGTCGTAATTTGATGTAGATAATACACTACATATTTAATCGTTTGATATTTCTAAGTATTGGTCAGTTGTCCACTGACAGCATCAAACTGCACATCTTTTGACAATTTGGTTCAATACGAAATTTTGGGTTTATCCAATTTGACTAAACTTACCTGGGAATCTATGTAATATTTAGAGGTATTTTCAATTTCACATAAATATAAAAATTTCAAATTGATAGTTCTCAGGCCAGCTTGTCTACAACTCATTAACATCTCATTAACGACTCATCTACAACTCATTAGCAGTTTGGTTTCAAACGAACATGGTTACAGTTCTTATATTTATTTGAAATTGATATCATTGCACCATAAAATTATCTAATAATTGAAAAATGCTTAAAATTTCAATTTCGCACCAGTTAGTGAATTTTCATAGTGAATTTAAGGGCAACTCATCTTCGACTCATTAACAACTCATTGGCACCTCTAATAATATTCGCACATTTGAAGTAGGTGTTATACGTAAGAACTATTTTTTAAAAAATTAGACCCTTTTTTGCATACCTTTCTTACGCAGAAAAAGGGTCTACCGTAAAATACAAACGTTAAAATTTTAGAATAACTGGAAGAAATAATTATGTAAGGTTTAAAATGACGGGTTATTACAAATTGAAATTGTATTAAAGTCCTGTATCCAACTTTTGTCCTGGTCTTATTTCAAACCGATTCGGGTTGGTCTCCTTCAAGCTCAAAATTAAGCCGGGCTAATCGCAGTAGATGTTTTTAGAACAAACGGGTTTTAAATGAAACACAAATTTCAAGGAGTTAAGTGGTTTCTAAAATGTGAGCTTACTAAAATTTTTATTTATTTATTACTTTTATTTTTAGAGTATTTACACCATGACGGCCAAATATCAACCCTCCGCTTTAAATGGGCACGTGGAATTTAAACTTCCCGACATTTCGCACCCCTCCTTCGGCAAGGTGACGATTTCTGGGCGATTTCCACGCATCCAGCCGCGCTTCTCTCGTTCTGAAGTGGATCCCAAAATATTTTCCGGTCTCGTCTCCAAGTACACGAAATTGGTGGAGGAGTGCGGACTTGGAACGGGTTCGTTCGAGTGGGCCGGTGCCATCACGACTACCGTGGCGGCTGCCTTACAGTTTTCACTTTATTGGAATCCCACGCTCGCCTTGGACTCGACAGAGTTCACTTTTTACGTTTGGTTTATACTTTTCGCCTATTTTTATGACGATGGTTTGGAAGATGGCTGGTTTGAGGGGAAACTGACCGTTGAAGGGTGGCAGTACGCGAGTGAAACCTACATCAAGATCATGAGGATGCATGTGGTGGAAGACCCACTGCCCGAAATTGAGGGATTACCTTCCTTCCATGGAACTTGTAAGGTATATGTGAAATAAATTGTATTTTCAATGAGCCCAATTAGACAAATTTGAGCTTATTTTGCTGAAAAAACGGAGGCATTATTATGGAAGGTCCATAAATTATGTCAAGCGAGAAGGGGGAGGGGGGGTCTAAGGCTCCAATGATATCTTGCCTATGTGACACATGTTAAAGGTTGGGTTAGAAAATCGAGATTTTTGCGTGACATAACTTATGGACCTTTCCTTACGTTAATGATTTGCTAAAAGTGGTAATATAAATGTACTCTCTTTGGATTCGGGGCATGCAGAAAGTTTGGACGATTTACGTATAATTTATCAAATTTTATTGCAACTTTTTGATGGAAGTTGGAACTTTTGTTACCAAATTTACCCTGGTTTCTATTTGGCAAGATTGTCAAAACTTGTTTCTCTATAGAATATATATTTGAATTATTTTAGGCATTGGTAAGAATGGTTGCGGCCGGGGTAGAATGTGTGGGGGAAAAATATGTCGAATATATTGAACCTATGGCTCACACATTCCAAACAACCTTCCTCAGTAACGACTGGTTTACCTCTTGCCGACTAGATAAAAGGTTGCCCATCTATGTTTCATAATTTTTTAAAAAATTGTGCTGTATATTTCTGAAATTAAAATAACAAAATATTTAAAGGTTCAGTCTCCGAACGTACAACGCTTGGCGTGGATGGAACGTTGCTGGCGACGGGTGCTTAGAAGGGCAGCTATTCGTTCGGGGAATCCCGATTTCGCAAAACGTGAGAAGACATCCACTCTTCAAGCGGATCATGAACATCGTGAGGGGTAATATCGCCTGGGTACTCAAAAATAATTAATAAACCTTCAAAGCAAATATAACAAAACCGCGTCCTTTAACACGACACCAGACATGACAATTATATATTTCTGACCGTGAGGATGAGATCAATGGTAAAAAATATTGAGGCCGTCGAATTCGTGGTGAAACGACATACCATTTGACAATGAAAGTAAATTTAATTTTGGCCCACACCCCCAAGCACTATGGGAGGTGGTCCGTCGATCTACCCTATTACCGAGAACTGACTTGAAAAACACAATGGAGGAGGAGGACAAACGGACGGACAAAGTGATCACAAGAAACAGCTGACGCTACAAACCTTAATAATTCAGCTGTATATGTTGTGATTATTATGTCGCAACGCGGGTCTTATGAATTTCAGGTTAACGACATATTTAGCACCGGGAAGGACCTCACCACCGAAAACTATCCAGATAACGAGATCTTGTTCCGCGTCCTGGAAAAGGGTGAAAACATCCATCATGTCGTTGCTGACACGTGTGTCAGCAACGGAGAAGAGTTGCAGGATCTCATTTACTTGAAACAAACTTTGGTCGACATTTTTGGCGAGGATGATAACATTTGTGGTTTCCTGGAAATGGTCGACGTCGTCATCGATGGTCAGCTCATGGTTTATGTGAAGACAACCCGCTACCAGTGTGACCGCGTGTATGTCAGAGTTTTCATGGATGGCGATGAAAAAGGCCAACTGAAGCTGTCACGTCAGCCTAGAAATTAGGTAGCGATGAATTGTTCAAGCATATTGTTCAAAATTAATCACCAGGGGTTAGCAAACTATTAATCGTTAATCTGTAGTTTAATTGATTAATACGATGTATAATAAATAAATACTTTATCGTTTCATTTCAATGGAAATTTGACGTTGTCAGGTAATCTGATAATGCCATACATACCACGGTCATACTTCCAAGACCATAATCTCACTACCTCTTATCTGGATTCGACTCCGGTACGGTGCATGCTGTCTGATCTTTCCACCAGTCCAGAGATTTGCATTTACGCTACGCAAATCGTAGTATTGTGCACTGTACCTGTCAAAATGGAACCAACCAATTTAAACTCATCCTCTCCTATCCTATCTGCGACAGTCTGCAACAGCCGTTCGCTAGAAAGCGGACTATAACCCCCCAATTATATTAACAGGGCATGATCAAATTGTTTTTTCATTACTAAAATATCTAAGTTAATAAAATATTTTTTCTCAATTTTTGTTCATCTGATATTGTGGAAATATGAATAATGGAATTAAATATTCACGCTATGCTTAATACACCGGGTATATTTAGATATATAAATAACAAAGTTAATATGAAATAAATAAAACATGAATAATGAATATTAAACTTTTATTTCCGAACGCTGCATTAATTTAGAATGATTGAATAACTTTTTTCAACTTCCAAACTTTGAATTAATTACGAATGAGGGAACAATGATATCAAATTTTCAAATTGAAAGAATTAAAAAAAAAACTTTATTTAAGGATATGAATGCATATGCCTATGCTAATGCCTTGCTGTGTTTCGGTCTTGCTCATCCGGGCCCATTTGGTGGAGCTTTTTTGCCCCAGCATTTTGGCACCTGCGCATCTGCCTTTGAGCTATTCTTCCCGGCCAGTTTTCGAACGCCAGACTCCTTCACATCCCAGATTAGTAGTCTTGTAAGTCTTAGAATCTTTTTCGTCACGATCGTCGTCCGAAACTTTCTCTAGAATAGCGCCAACCGGAAGTACCGAGCCTTCGAAGGATTTCTTGGCACGTCTCCACGAATCCCAGGACTTTTTCAACAATTTTTCTGGGATTGGAAAATGATAGGTGCCATTCATTAGAAACATTTCACTTATTCAACTCCTGGTACCCGTAGTTTCGTTCATGTGCCTATCGACACGTTCGTAGTAATCGGGTCGCGCCTTGTAAAACACACATATCCTCACGATTTGAAAGATGGTCGAGTGATAACCTTTTTTTATTTTGCAAAGTATTGTATGCACGGAAATAATGAATGAAGTTTTTTAAAATGTTAAGTTTACCTGTAGGTTCATTGTTTTTAAAACAATTGTTCTTAGCTTTAATTGTTGAGGAACCTTTGTCTGTGTCGGCTTGATTGTTCGTTATATGAAGTTGCTTAGGAAGGGGCTGTACATAAATCACGTGATCGACTTTCGGTTAATTTTTACCCCCACTCCCCTCCCCCTGGTGACCTATATGCCCCATGTTGTAATTAACATGGGAAGGATAGCATGCCTCGAGCCCGCCCCCTCCCCCCAAATCGATCACGTTATTTATGTACGGCCCCTTATTGAGAAAAAATTCATGCGCGTCACAAGAACTGAATATTTATGCGTAATTGTTATATTTGAAGTTCATATAAAGGGTGTTGATTTAATACGTCCTGATTTCGCTGGTTAATATTTTAAAACTTATAACTAAAATACTTTGAAAATTTGGGGTAAACTTTTTTATCAGAGATACATTGCTAATTGGTTAGTCTTTCGCCATTTTATGCTAACCATGTCCTAACTCTTTTGTTTCGCCTTGATGCTCATTTTCGTAAATTTGTGTCGGGCTGACAAACAACCATCGGGACGAATTAAACCAACCCGCTTAACTTCAAATGCGGAATGTTCGGGAATTCATAGACGTCAGTAAAACTGGTTATTTTTGCATACGTGGTAAACTTGAAGTTTATTTAGCCATGTATATATCCACATACACAGTGCCCGCATAAAGAAACTATGTCCCCAAAATGTATGCCACAGTCTTGTACGCAGTTTAGGAGGACAACCCCTTACCGACAAAGTCACCGATCTTGATGCCCTTTGGATATGTCGTAGTACTAGGTGAGTCTAGCACAAGTGTGGAAGGATTTCATTCCATGGCCCCATTTGCGCCCGCCACACCCCTTTGAAGGAGCGCCCCATGCTAAACTAGCCGCACTAAAACCTTCGCCAAAAATCCAATTTTGGTCGGATTTTCAAAAAAATTACATATTCTTGATCCCAGATATGTAGTTGCTTTATCATATCCAATATCAAACTCAACTTTTTTAATTTTTTCAATATTTTTAAAAATTTCATGGCAGAGGTATGATCTGGAAAAAATCAAAATTTCAAAAAAGTTGAGTTTGATATTGGATATGATAAAGCAACTACATATCTGGGATCAAGAATATGTAATTTTTTTGAAAATCCGAGCAAAATTGGATTTTTGGTGAATTTTTGAATGAACCAAAACAGGGTATTTTTCGTGTTTTCCGCACCTTTGAGTGGGTGTGGCGGGCGCAAATGGGGCCATGGAATGAAATCCTTCCCAACTTGTGTTAGACTCACCTAGTACTACGACATCTCCAAAGGGCATCAAGATCGGTGACTTTGTCGGTGAGGGGTTGTCCTCCTCAGATCGAGCGCAATGTTGGCATATTTGACAAATATAAAGATAAGCCCTTGCATAAAAAGGTTCAGAAAATGTTCAGAAAATCATGAAATAAAAAACAAATTATGCTTAAGATATTATACACTTCTTCAAATCTAATGAAATGTGATCCTGACCTTTGATACATTTCATGTGGCCAGACTTGTGACTTCATTTCCTGACTGCATATGGACAGAAAACCGACATAGCTAATAATGCGTGATAAATATTTATCATGCATCTTTGTTTTTCATGCAACAAGCACATCGGGCTGTGCACAAATCATGTGATTGATTTCAGCCTGAAATTTTCAGGTAGTAAGGGTCAAATCCTTCCCATGTTAATTATAACATACAGGTCACACCACGGGGGTTGGGATACAAATCCATCAAAAATCGATCGCATCCTTTATGTATAGCCCAAATCATGACAATTTCATTTTTGTTAACAACAAATCTGAAATTGTAAGACATAACTTTGCACATGTTGAGTATTAATATTTGTTTATGAAAATAATGGATGCGATAAAATATTAAACTAATTTCTAAAAAAGCCTACTTAGGTGAGGCGCTACTAAAAACGTTAAACAAGGTCCGACCTCCTTATATTGAATTGCTGGAGATTTTGCATTACCGCAGAGCCAAAATTTTTTAGCCCATCAATAAGTAGCCACGCTGCCAAAACATGGGCATATCGCCAGCACTCCAACGGCTCTTTCCATTGTTGCATACTTAATGCAGGTATGAAGTAAGGTCAAGGCAGTACTCATTGAAAATTAATCCATAATTTAATAGTTAATTGATTTAAATTTAAATTAAAAATTATTTAGCTCTGAATTAATGAAACGTGTTGAACATATTGCTGTGAACTACAGATTAACAACAGAAACAAAGTTACAAAGTTCTAGAGAGTTTACACATAAGAAACACTACCGACGCAATAAACCAAGATAATGGCATGAACCTCAACCCCATATGGTCATCATTTATGTTACCCCTCCTTTAAATTCCATAACTACATAATATGAAAATATCAAACAATTTTTCCAATCATTCTTGAAATTTAAGAACAATGACTGTTTTCTCGATTCCAAAAAATTGTTAATCTCCTGATGATGATGCAAGTTTAGCATCGAAAGCTCGAATAAAACTGCTTTTTATCAAAAACACCCATGTCTTCCGAAAACAACGCTCTAAAGTTACAAAGTTCAATTTGTAATAGAAACAAAGTTACTAAGCCCACAATTAAACCCTAAAACTGGGTAGCAGTATAGTTTGAGATTGAGGTTTTCCAAAACTGGAAAAATTGAATTGGAGCTATGATAAGCAGTATACATGATGCATAGCATGGCTTTTACATATGCTAGCATTGATGCGATTTGTGCAAAATTTTTGGCTCAGCGGTAATGCAAAATCTCCAGCAATTCAATATAAGGAGGTCGGACCTTGTTTAACGTTTTTAGTAGCGCCTCACCTAAGTAGGCTTTTTTAGAAATTAGTTTATTTTAGGATTTTAAGTGTTACATACAGTTTTACACTCATAATCAGTACTGTCTGATTTTGTTGTGAAGAAATAGAAAATCGGTTCAAAATATATTTTTCCTCAAACATGCAACCTTGTTTTTTTACAATTTTCGAATCCGATGAGCTTGTGAAAAAATGTCATTCACGTAAGAATATGATTTAGGAAATGTTTCGTAAAAGTTCAGATTCATGCGTTCAATATTCCCTGAGAAGTTGACAATTCAAATTTGCCCATGCCGAGTGGTCTAATATCGAAGTACAATGGACAGTGCAACGCTTAGTTTTGAATTTGAAGAATCAAAAAGTCTAAATTTTTCCTCCCTCCCCTCGAATAAAATCTGTATTTTTCATGTATTTTTAATAAATTGTTGGCAGGATCAGTTTTAATAACATGAAAGGTGCTGTTTTTAATGCTTTGTGATAATTTAATATGCAATATTTCCAAAATTGTTTTTCTACTTGTATGACTTTATGGGACCGAAACTCAGAAGGTGTAACCAGGGGAGTTGATTTATGCTATAGGGCAAACTTTGCGAGTTTTCGACCAATTTTTGTAAAATTTTCACCAAAACATGCAGAGGTAAATAAGGTACAATCTGAGCAGGTTTAATTTTGGTATTCGTTTGTTGGAAGTGCCTCAAATATCGATTTGAAAGTTTAAAATCAAAACTTGAAACCCAAATATTAAACTTTCTTGCCAAGAAAGAAGAAAAACCACTTCTCCTCACAATTTTCTGCACGATTGCCTTTTACACCATGTGGATCAAGCTACCGCGGACCACGGATCAAGATACCACGGACCGCGGAGGTCCATCAACCTACCGCGGACCGCGGTACCACGGATCAAGTTACCGCGGAACAAAAAAAAATGTCACTTTACCCCCAAAATTCTCACTTTACTCCAAAATCTCACCATAACCCAAAAATCTCACCTTACCCCAAAAATCCGTGGGCAGCCCAAAAATCTCGTTACCCCAAAAATCTCACTTTACCCCAAAAATATCACGTTACCCCAAAATTCTCACCTTACCCCAAAAATCTCACGTTACCCCAAAAATCTCACTTTACCCCTAAAATCTCACTTTACCCCAAAAATCTCACGTTACCCCAAAATTCTCACCTTACCCCAAAATTCTCACCTTAGCCCAAAAATCTCACCTCACCCCAAAAATCTCACGTTACCCCAAAAATCGAATTTGATCGCAAGATGACGTTTGCGGTTACAAATCACGTGTAATCCTTAAATCATGCGTTATGAGGTTTTGTGACCTCATATCACCCCTCATGGTCAATGGTGTGTGAGGTTTGTGGCAATGGGAGAAAAATTTCGAATAGTATAAAAATGCAGCACACAATTTACCGCAACAATTTAAAAAAATTATTATTTATTAAAAGAAAACAAGCCGGCGTCTAACAGCAGATACAACTAATAATTTGCAATTATAGTAAATTATCAAACTGTAATTATAATATTTCAGATTATGAGTAGAAAATAAACTTATAAATATTCAAATTAGATTGGTTCAACGAGACTTGTTGCACTTCGTTGTTTCACTAATCTTTTTTTTAACAATACTGCACAATTTTGCATAATATTTTTCAATGGTTTCCATATAATAAAAAATATACATTTACTTGATGAAATATTTATTTTAATAAGTAAAATTAATGAAATCCCAGAATTGGCTAATTTGTTAACATTAATATTAAGAATTAATATTAATAAAGATTATGGCATAAATACATTAAATATGACGGTTTAAGAATACATATATAATTTGTCAAGGATTTCTAGTACGCCCTAATAAGGAACGTCGATATAAGTAGCACTTTATAAACACGATTTTGTGAAATTTAGTACCTATAAAATAAACGTTTGTGAATTTAGATGAATGAGTAATTAACGCCTCGATCTGGAGGGGAAGAATTAAAGACGAAACCGAGCTAATAATCAACAGAAATATATAACAACACATATTGCGTTAGTAATAAACCAACACGATTTGTTGCGAATTATTTTCCTGGGATTTTTCCAAACTCTGACAATGGGTGAATTTTTCTTAATATTTGGAAAGTTTAAAGTGTATGTATGTGTTTTGTGGATTCAAATAATATTATTTATGAATCTGATTCATAGACTATGAAATTATATGTCGAAGCAAATTTGTCCTACTCCTAGTTATATTTGTATTTTCTACCTGAAATTATCTTATCTAAATCATTGAACTTAAAAATACAAAGGAGTAGCTTATACAAATCAAAATCGTGGTCATTTTTCAAAGAGAAGTCGCTGGTTGATCGACGCATAACTGCAAAACCACTTGGTCGTCACTAAGAAAAGTTAGAACATATTTATTTTTTTCATCCAAATGGTGCTTACTTTATGACCTTCCCCGGATGAATCAAAATTTTTCAGATATTTGCTAGATAGCCCATCATAACGATACTTGTTACGGTTGTAGATAAAGACAGCCGTAAAATGATTCGAACAACTAACTGAATATGCAAAGGGGACATACTTTGAACCTAAGATAATGTTACTGGTTGGAATCATCTCTTCGGTTATTGGAGTTTAAGTGCTACCCTTAGCCAGCTCCAATATGTTATGAACCAAAAAAGGTGGGGCGCCCTCTGATGGCCAATCGTACCACACCTGACAATTTGCCTTCAAACGCTTACATGACCCGGAGGAGCAGGTTTTCAAACGCCTTACGTTATATTTAAATGCGAAATCGTCAGCATCAGAAAAATAGAAGGTGGACAGTGGATAAACTTCCTCTGCTTGAGGAAGTACGCAATTAGTGTTTTCACATTTACGAAATATCGTCAATCTAATTACGTTAGACATACAATCCAAGAATCTTCCTTCTGAGCCGAAAAGGTTTTTAGAAAGCAAAACTTTTGGCTCTATTTTCAGAAAATTTTCCAGTAAAAACTGCTTTGCCAATTTACCGTTATTTCCGTCCATCATCTCAAAAACTCTGTATAAAGCTTTCACATTTTCTGATTCATGATGTCTCCACAAAAAATCATCCACATCTTTAAACATTTTTGTCATGGTATACAATATTTGCATTTGGGTGTCAATAGCACATGTATTATAAAGGTTCTTCACTTCTTTGCCATGAACAGAAATGTCCCCTCCGTATGGAAGCCTATAAATAGAATGCAAGGGGGTTTGGGTATTAGAAGTCGGAGGTGGTTTTTGTTTCTTTGCCTTCCAATTCTCACTGGCGGTTTCGGGGAATTTGCTACTTGATTCAGCATATTTGACGGGGTGATTTTTCACATTTTTGCTGCCCTCCTGTCTGTCATGCTTTACCTTGCTTGGTTTTTTATTAGAGGTCTTTGGAAGCGTTTGTGGTAAGTTTTTTATCCTGGGTTGGCCATCATCATCACTCTTGCTATCATCGGAAGTTTCTTGCTTTATGGTTTTAAGGGTTTTTGCCACCTGGCTTTGAAAGTCAGGTGCTTGCTGGGAATTCGACTTGATACGGGCTTTCAATGCTCGTTGTAAAGCCAAATCAAACTTTAAGAGCCGACCTAATTTAAGAAAATTAGATTCAGTTGTCTCATTGTCAGGATTTTGGAAAACCTCTTAATCCTATTATTACCCGTCAAGTTCTCCTGTTGAGCTTCTAAAAATCTGCCAATCTTCATGGGCAGCTTTCCTTTGAAAAACCGGTGCTTCACAATACTAGGTAATGTAGATAATTATTAAAACATTTGTTTTATTGAAAGAAGTTGAGACATTGTTACCGGCTTACCTATTCCATGACTCGGCTGTGGCCTGCGTGTCGTCCGCCACTGAAATCTTATTCAGATATATCAGGGATTGATTAAACAAGCATCCGTACGGAAAAATGTGCTTCAAACAGTAGTTTATAAAGGCCGGGCAGTAATGCGGATTTTTCTTTTTCTTTGCACCTTGAGACAGGATATTGTCCTCTTCTTCACTCTCGTGCTCTGTATGCGTTGATTGACTTGTATCCTCAGCTACTGCAGATTGCAGTTTTGAATGATCAATTTTAAATCGAGCAGCAACTGTACAAGCAAAGTAGCCGAATGGAGAGAGCTGGTAAAAAGGACCATCCCTATATTGGAGTGCATCAGGCACCATGGATAAGTATGTATCTAGAATGCAGTTTAAATTTAATAGAACGAATTTTCACTTGACTCGTTTAATACTGAATTAAAAATTACCTTTTCCGTCGGCTAACGTTGGCTCATCCAGCTCGTCAATACGTTGAGCAACTGTTGGATTAAAGTGCTTCGTCCCACAAATTAATAAGACGTCCCAAACACGTCGGCAAAAACTCACCAAAGCTAATTTATAAAATGTAATAAATAAAATAACTTGTTTGCAAAACCATTTCGTTATAGTATAATCTAAATACAAACCACGCTAACATTTTCCGTAGAGAAAGGCGTAAACCCATTTTTTAAGTAGTTTAATAGATTCTTCTCGGGATCGAAAATCCGTTTCGATTCGTTTGAACAAGAAGGTCAATGCGTGCTTCCTGAAAAACTAGCAATAGTTAACTATTGTTAAAGTTATAGGTTGTCAAAAATCCTGAAATACCACCTGCATATGTGGAAAACTACATAGATTTCTTCTTCTGTCATAAGACTATTCCAGGCATCCTTGAGATACGTATACACTGTTCCCACTTCAAGTCCCATCATAACTCCTGATATTAACGCTAAACTATCATCTGTCTCTATACGTCTGATGCCAAAACAGCGAGATTTTTGTGACTGATATTCTCGCCACCTAAGTCAAGAATAAATTGTTATCATAATCCTTGTTGCTTTTGTGTAATTATACCTGTCGAAGAATAAGTGAAGCTGAGTTGATATTGAAACAGCTGTATGCGAGTTGGTAATGAATTCAAGCAAAGGTATAACTGGTGCCTCCTCTGATGAAAGGGTGACAGTCACAGCATAGTAGAATTGCCTCTTGGAATCAATGTACTCGGGAAGTTTATTGGAAATTGATCCAGTGCTGTCGATGTGAAGGCAAATATTACGATCGTATTTCAATAACCGCTGAAGTATTTTTAATTGCTTCTCCTGGAACATCGTCACAGCAAAAGGAAACAAGCTTATGTTTTGTATATATCCGACAGTCAAATTTCTTGGGCCACTCAAGTCGGGTAAAGCATTCATCTTGTGTTTCCTCAGGACTAGGTCATACAACACTTCGCGGTCCAGGTCTTTTTTCCCCATCGCCTGATGCATAAAAAGATATCAATAATTTTGCCATTAGGAAAATAATTTCAGTGCACATACCTCATATCTTGCATTTCGCAACACTGGCAGAGTCTGGACTTGTGTGTAATCGCCTTTTTTTAATGCAATTTTTTGCTCCCTTCTACTCTGCTTGGCGAATAGCTTTGTTTGATACTGCATAGCTGACGTTTCAGCCAACTTTGCTAAGGCTTTCTTCCTCTCGTCTCCACTCAAGAATTGCTTCCCCACCTCTGAAGTTTTGTGCAAGAGGGTCCCAGATGGCCTTCAAATATGCAATATTAGTTTAAGGACCAAGAAACGCTTAATTGTCTACGCCATTTAGATAACGCACTCACTTGACGAGAACAGTAACATCTTCCATCTCCTCTATCCTTTGTATGTAAAAATGATAAACCATGGAACACGTTGATTTAGAGCACTTGGCATCGGCATGCAAGTAGTTTTTTGCCGTATCGGACGTGTAAATTTCGTGCCCTTGGAACGCCAAAATACAACCTTGCATTGGATCTGGGCAAGCTCGTTTAAATGCGTCGGAAAACTTGCTGGCCCAGCGACCTCTTGGCAATCTTTCCTGGAACTCCAATTTTTTGTTCGTTAAAGCTTTTTGTGGCAAGATGCTCTCCCAAGTGGTCCACTGAATATTTGCATAAAAGTTTGTGTGCTTCGATATGGGTCCCTCCACGTCTGAAAAATAAACACGATTACTCGAGAATTTAATTTGAAATTACAACTAAAATAGATGAAGTCATACTAGATAAGCTGGCTTACCTTTGTCCACTTCTGAATCAGTCTCAGAAGATTGTGGTGTCGAACAAACTTTGATCGAGGTTTGTTGTTGGGATTTATTATTTGTCTTACGGCACTTTCTTGTTTTCATTTGTTCTTGTGGTTCATCGGAAGTTGCGTCGGATATTTCGTTTTCGACTTTACGAAATTCCTCTACGGGAAAATAAAACTTGAGCTATTAAAACTTCGGGGAAAGAGTTCAGCTATGTTATATGAAAATTTGTTATCGAGCTTTTTACCTTCTTCATCCAGGTCGGAATCAGACTCCCAGCCATCTGAGCCATCTATTGTAGTTTCATCATCTTCGTCAAATGCGTTAGTTGGTCTATGGATGCTACTTGGAATGGGGTCCTGCTGCTTTTTACTAGCTGGACAGGGTTTTTGTTGCTTCCTGCTAGCTCCTTCGGCTAAAACTTGTCCCGTGACCTCTTCCCACCGTTTAACCCTTTCCATATTAAATGATATATTGAGGTGTACTCAGGTGTGATTAGACAATTATAATTAGAAGATTTTTGCAGGTGTTGTTGTTCTCATGGGCTACTGTTGAGGGTACTTCACTGGTGAAGGTTGGCTAGTTTTTAAGAAGGCTGCTTTTGAGGGATGGCAATTTGTGTAGAACGGCTGCTATCGAAGCTACTGTACACTTTTGGGGTATGGCTATCTTGACGATGTGACACGCCAGGATGATGGCCACTCACTTGACGCTGATGTACACTTTTGCAGTGTGGCTACTCCCTTGTGGATGTAACAAGCTTGGAGGAGGGCCACTCAATCGAAGGTGATGTACACTTTTGCAGTGTGGCTACTCTCTTGAATACACACTGAACTCTTGGAGGATGGGTACTCTTGGAGGATGGGTACTCTTGGCGGAAGTGTACTCTTGGAGGATGGGTACTCTTGGAGGATGGGTACTCTTGGAGGATGGGTACTCTTGGCGGATGTGTATTCTTGGAGGATGGGTACTCTTGGAGGATGGGTACTCTTGGAGGATGGGTACTCTTGGAGGATGGGTACACTTGGAGGATGGGTACTCTTGGAGGATGGGTACTCTTGGAGGATGGGTACTCTTGGAGGATGGGTACTCTTGGAGGATGGGTACTCTTGGAGGATGGGTACTCTTGGAGGATGGGTACTCTTGGAGGATGGGTAATCTTGGAGGATGGGTACTCTTGGAGGATGGGTACTCTTGGAGGATGGGTACTCTTGGCGGATGGGTAATCTTGGAGGATGGGTACTCTTGGAGGATGGGTACTCTTGGAGGATGGGTAATCTTGGAGGATGGGTACTCTTGGAGGATGGGTACTCTTGGAGGATGGGTACTCTTGGCGGATGTGTACTCTTGGAGGATGGGTACGCTTTGAGGATGGGTACTCTTAGAGGATGGGTACTCTTGGAGGATGGGTACTCTTGGAGGATGGGTACTCTTGACGGTTATGTATCAACAAGCTCTAGAACAATGTGACAAACGAGACAAGTTGTTACAGCAGATATCGAAACTAAACTGAACGTTTTTGCGGTCCCGTTACGGTATAAAATCGAATGCGTAGTACAAATTTGATTAGGAGTCATATGTCCTCCCACGACTGAGCTTAATACCCAATCATATCGCCCGGCCGAAAGGCTGTGCACTGCTGGGGCCCCATATCTCGTAACGTGTAAGATTCCACCCCCTAATGTATCATAGGGTCGTCCTGAATTCTTGCGTAGGCGTACACAGAATTAATAGGTGACCAATGGACCCGATGAAAAACTGACGGATGGCCTAAGGATTTTTCTTCGGTTTTTGATTTCTCGCAAATATTCAGTCAGTCCACAGCTGCCGTAGGGTTCAGAGTAGATGTGCAGAAACTTAGATTTTCGACACGTCAAAGTGCTACCTCCATCGAGTGTACTCTTTACCAAGCCGGAGTACCACCAAGTGTGGCCAACTGCTAGTGCTACCTCCATTGAGTGTACTCTTTACCAAGTGTGCCCAACCTCCAAGTGCTCCCTCTGTCGAGTGTACTCCTTACCAAGCCGGAGTACCACCAAGTGTGGCCAACTGAAAGTGCTACCTCCATTGAGTGTACTCTTTACCAAGTGTGCCCAACCTCCAAGTGCTCCCTCCACCGAGTGTACTCTCTTATTTTCAATAGATACTTATAAGCCTACAAAATGATGCCTTTTCAATATCAACCAATCTCCCTATGCCAATTAGCTTTGGTTATAAACTTCCTTGGATCAGCAAATTCTGCAAGTATTACCGGAACTGAGCGGAAGGGACTTGAGGTGTATGTTTCGGCCGCTGCAATTATTCAACCGCTTAACGGGGTGAAAGTTTTTACCGACGAGCAAGAGATCACATTCCTTATTCCTGATCTTCCATCCCTACCACCTGATAAAAGTTATAATTGTCCGCCCGGAGCTTCATGGTGCGGATACATTAACGACATCCATCATGTTGAAGAACAGACATCGAACTTACTGAACGTGTTGCACCAAGCATTCACATACGACGGGATAAGTAAAGCCCCTGCAAGCGACTCTTCCAACAAGAATGTCGACCAAACCAACCCTAATTACAAGCAGGAGCTAGCAAACTCTGCAGGCCAGCAATGGTATTCTGATATGATCCTTGCATTGGAGGACCGAAAATTAGACGGAGAAGTTGAATTTTCGCGGAGGAGACGAAGTATTAATAGCAGCACGGACATCGAAGGCAAAGAAAATGGCAATCAGACTGATCCAAATGCAAGAGGCCGTAGAGGGGCTTTTGGAACGGTGGTAAAAACCGGTATTGCGGTGGGTGTGCCAATACTATTGGATTTCATTAAAGATAAATTGTTTGTTCCCGACCATGCAATTGCTGATAAACTGGCGGAATTGAAATCAAAACTTCCAGAGCAATTCAAAGTGTTTGCGGACCTCCCAACAATCCAATCATCATTTACCGCTACACGCAAAGTTGCAGCGGCCGTTGTGAAATTCGCAAACAAAAACTTCGCACAAGAGTTCTCGATTAATAACGGCAAGTTTGGGTCGACCATCTCGGATTGGATTACTGCGACAAATTTCAATCAGATGTCCTCTTCAAATTCAGTCAATCACCTAGCTCTTCTTGTTGGCCACTTTTCCGCCTTGTCTGACTGTAGGGACGGCAATGTGCATTTGGTGTTCGTACCTCCAGCTGTACTGGAACCTCAACTAGTTAAACTGGAAAAAAAACTTGACCCAAGTCTTGAAATGGTAGTGCCTTCAAAAGAAAGTTCCATGTATTATACTATGCAATGTGCAAAGTGTAAATTTGACAATGATGGTGGAATAGTTCAAGTTAAAATTCCAATTAAACCGAAAAAATCGGTTTTTACCGTGTACCAGTACAAATCTTTGTCTCTGATTACCCTGTCTCTGACTTGGACGAAAATGAATGTGATCCCATCGGGACAGGATTCTGCAAGTTACCACAGGTGTCAATTATATGCATACGTATTAACCATTGTTGAATCCGTTGCTCAACTTTGCAATTGTTGTATCGATTTCAGGCAAGCAATTCCGACATGCCTGGCCATTATTGCTTGATGACTATGATGGATTCCACTACTGCTGACGAGGTACAATAATTCATAATTGTCAATTAAGTTACTGACGAATGCATACAGTCACAATACATTGATCGAGTCAACATCCATTAATAATTGCCGTTTCCCTTTTGTAGAATAAGTCGGCCTGTAAGCTGAAATGTGTAGAAGGTACCAAAACCTCGGTTACTCAGATTAGCGACGATTCCCTGGTTGTGGCACATCTACCAAAGCTTGGAGCAACGGTTATTTGCGATAGTGGATTTACTATGAATATCAAACACGAAGTGGATGTTGGTGCGATTCGTTTCGATTTAGGGTGTGGCTGCTGCGTAATGTACGAAGGAAAAATTATTGGCAAGTCTTACAGAAAATTTTGTGACATTAATATGCCATCTGTGAAATGGGGTCAAATCCTTCCCATTCAATTCAGCTCACTTCATAATTGGATTCCGGTACTTGAAGGAGGGCTACAAGCTATGAAATACAACAATGCTGAGGACATCCTCGACCCTGATTTTATTGTGATCACCAGCGAGGGTCCAACAAACACCGAAAGCAGCGCCATCTTCACATACGAAATGCCAATTGGGTCAATTTTTCTGTTTGCTTTGGAACTACTCGGTCTGACCGCATTTTGCTATCGCTATCGGATTGGCCCGTTTGCAGTGTTGGCCATGCTCCCACGATTCGTTGCCGCAAAAAACTACCCTATACGAGATTCTCCCACTGAAATATACACCTTACTTTACACCATAGTCTGACTTCTCTTGCTTCTCGTTATTCCCAGTTGGACCTTCTTCTTTTTCTCTAAATGCCATCGGCTTTATAATGCTATTGTTACACGTGCGGCCGAAAGACGACTGGAGCAAGAAGCAATGAATCTTTAATTCTACGGCCGAGAACACGTAATGCATATACTCTTGTTACATAGCCGAACAAGATCGTTCAATAATGCACTGCCTCTTCTTTCGAATCCGCTTGCAGATTAAAAAGCAAATCTAGAAGCAAATCTACATATTTTCTGCTGTTTCCCACAAATCTATATTTAATAATGAATCTTATTAACAAAAGCCTAGCAGTATGCGCTGTGTCATTAAGAACCAAATTTTAGTTTTTGCAAGGTTAATAATTTTTAGTACCTGCGTTATTGACTTACGAAAATAACACTAATACTTTATTGGCTTTATTTATACTACAATTGTTTTCCACGTACACGGTTACAGAGCTTATTTTACATAGTCCCAAGTATGATATATGAATAACGTTATTATTTCCTAAACATGGTTTTATTTATAGCTGTGAATGGAGTCAGATATCTGCTCACTAGGTTATTCACTGTTAATTTCCTTCGATTGTATTTACGAAAACTTAATTCTTTGAACAGTCTTTCTGTTGTTCTAACCTGGGAATAAAATTATTATTACGTAAGCTATAATTAATTTGATAGTATTTGACACTACTGAAGGTTACAGATCCTATTTGCACAAAAATTAACACTGGCCTCAAATTTGCTGTCGGCGCCCATGAATTTGTTTCGTCAGTTTAATGTGTTCCCCAGGTCATTGGCTACCCAGTCTATATCGCGGTTTCCACGAATTCGTTGCTTGTCATATATTTTTGAGGGCAAACATCTTACCCTCCTCCTGAAGAAGTTTCCAAAACACCACTAAAAACTGCACCTCGTTTGAGCTGAATCGCATCTTGTAGACGTCCAAACCCATAAAAAATACAAAGGAGTGGCATCACGACATTACATAGGTATCTGAGTGTTAGGAATTGAAATTCATAGATTTTGTTTTAACAGGGCTATCTGCCGGGTCGTTTTCAGATAACTTTTTGAGATGAAGTTATAAAACGTGTGAACTTTGGTCTATGTTTTGACCTTTTTTTGAAACCTGTCCCTGGTGACGTAATTCA